CACTTGTTCCAACTTGAACTGACTACTCTGAGGTTCAATAAGTCTTTGGAAATTACCATATTTGTTTTGCAGTAGTTTTTTGTATTTATCCTGTAAAAAAAATAAAACATAAAAAAAATAGATTCTATGGACCAGCCCTAGTTTGAATCATCTCATACATATGTTGCTTAAGCATAGTTGAAACATCAGTCCTGCTTCACATTTCTGACCCCCCCATCTTTGAGTCACACCCAGTTGTACTTGTAATATATGCATACAATATATCTTCCCCCTACTCTTGTCGGTATCTCATGACCTTATGTAATACAATGTAGAGCAAGTTTCTATCAAAGCTTTTATTGATGCCTCACTTCAGATTTTTCCATGAAACCTGAGGATCTGTTTGCAGCTTTCACTTGTCCTCATACAATAACTTCTCTTCACCAGCTCACAAATGTGCACTGTCTTTGTGGCTTTTATGGGTCTGATCCAAACAGATAAAATTACTTTACACTGTCACTCAGTAAAAGTTCAGGTCCTGCAGCCCCAGCCATGTATGGTCAACAAATGTGTTTTTCAACTGGTGTGTTGTGGCACTTAAGTGTGCCTTGATCTTGTTTCCTGTGCATTTTGGAAATGATCCAATACCCCCTAATTATAATTACTATTATAAAAATAGTGTGAAAAGTGAATGTCAAGATTTAGAAAGCACAATAGTAAGTTAGTAAGTTAGTAAGTTTTTATTTATATACCGCCTTTTCACTGCAGATCTGAGTCTCAAAGCGGTTTACAATTGTCAATTTTGGGCATTTGTCTCTCACTCCACACAGAGATGGGAGCAGGGTCGCCAGTACAGGAGGCACATGCTAGAACTATTGTACATATTTTTAGTGGTAGGGGAAACCGGAGTACCCGGAGGAAACCTACGCAGACACGGGGAGAACATGCAAACTCCACTCAGAAAGGCCCTGGTCCGACCGGGATTCGAACCCAGGACCTTCTTGCTGAGAGGCGAGAGTGCTATCCACTCAGCCACCGTGACTCAGCCACAATAAGACTTATTGTGCTTGTTTTTTTCTGTATAATAGATTGATTGTCTGGTGTTGGGTTGGAGATATTGTTTTATATAATTTATAATTATATTTTGCCGCTTTGGGTTTTTTTAGCACAGAGAAGGTAATCTGCTCAACCCGTCTTAATTTTGTTCCTCCTCCCCTTGCTTCAACATGGCTGCGTCCACTTAGCGAGGCAAAAAACTTGTCAAAAACACAACGATATGAAAGAAGTGCAAGGTGGTGTGGCATTTCATACAGTGGTGGATGTGGAACCTATTGTCATTGAACTTATATATATATATATAATTTTTTTTTTTTTTCACACATGCTAAAAACAACACATACAGTTTAGAGTCGGCATTACTTTGCAATGCAAGACCCCCCTTGACTGTACAGTGGGACAAAAAAGTATTTAGTCAGTCTCCCACTTAAAGATGAGGGAGTCCTGTAATTTTCATCATGGGTATTCTTCTAGGTAAAGGCCCCCCCCCCCCGCACGAGTTGGTACCAAAGGCATATAGGCAGCGTTTTCGGTCTTGCAAAAAATCAGGGACAGTTATTTGGAGTTCACTCGGGATTTAAAGACAAATTTTTCTTGCTGTGTGCAGCGTGAAAAGTTGATTGTTTTGGAGCATTTGAAAAATTCTGCGCCAAAACCTGTAGAATCTTATATTTGTGAGCAGAAGGCCGAGAGTGCGAGTACAGCAGCTGCGCTTGCAGATAATTCCCAAGGGACCGGTTGATGATGTGATGTGTGGTCCTGGTTACATGCGGGAAACTGTCAATTGGCGAGATGTGAATAAAATGTGTAATTATTGTCATGAAGAGGGTCATTGGAAGGTGGATTGTCTGGTGTTAAGTCCAAGAGTAACATGTCCAATTCATATGTTGAGCCTGCTGTGTTCGCTGCTCCTGTTCATTGTGTGTCTGAGGTGTTTGCATCTTATTCACCGTTCATTCGTGAGGGCTCTGTATCTCGTTCGTGGTCGGTTCGTGTTGCCTTTCTCCGCTGAGACCGCTACAGGGGACTTCATTCTGAGCCATGGCATGGCCGTGTTGCCCATTCTGTTACACAGGATGAGGTTTGGAGTGTGAGCTGGTACGGGGAGAGATCACTGTAGCTGGCGACCAGCACTACATCGACCAGACGTGTGACGTGGGCCAGCCGTAACGCGGAGTTTGTCTCTGCAACATCTGCAGGCCCCAGTGATTTTGTTTGGTCCGTGGCAGGCGGTGGCGGCAGTCAGAGTTGCACCCAGTACACATAGCACCAGCACCAGCCCCAGAACCATCCATTAATAGGGTGCCTTCTAAATAAGGATGGTATGAACCTTTACAGTGGGGTTTTTTTGCATTTCAGTTTAATTATTGACAACCTCCTTTTTAGGATATTTATTTGGAATTGTTTTTTTTTTTTTTTTCTTTTGAATTACACTCTGCTAAAATTGGTAGCATTAGATTCTCAATACCATAAAATATGTGTTAATTTCTGCCATCCTTAAGAATAAATCATTTTCAAGGGGGTCCTGGAATATAACTAATGTTAAGCTCAATTTATGGAAGTTTCAACATTCCTGGACTTTTTGTCCAGGGACCTACTTCCTTTCACCAATCACAAATGGCAACATTGATTTGCGAAAAATGTATAATTCAATATTTCCTAAAAACACCAAATTGAGTTACATCTGAATAATACCTTGCTTTTCACAAGAAACGTCTGCTCATGTAACTTGAGTTTCTGTTGAGCTCACGTTAACAGGAATGACTGTCGGTTATAATTTCAACCTGTCTTCACGAACAAAGTGCTAATTTCCGTAGTTTGAGTTGTATTTTTTGTTTTAACAATTATGAATCTCAAAACCAGTTATGTTTTAAGTTACAAATGTAAAATAAAAGTGAGGTTGACACGCAGATCAAAATCTGCATAGCATGCAAAAAGTAAATAGTAGAAGAAAAATGACACTGCTAAGCTTTAGCTCCCAAGGAATTATTTTATTTGCACCACAAGATGTGACGTTTCGGGCAAAAACTTCCCTTCATCAGTCGTGTCTTAACTACCCTTCATAAGACATCTCCATCTCAGTACCAACTCTGACTTCTCATTCTTATTAGTCTGTTGCATCATGATTCATGACTCTTTGTGTGAGCGTGTGGTTCCGAGGCAGTCACCAAACACACCAGCTGTCGTTTGGCTGTGAGCAAGTCTGCAGTGCTGGAATGCAACTGGTTCTGGGCCATAAATCTGAAAAGGAAATTCTACATGGACAAGCTGCATGAAACCAATACAAAAGGATATCAATGTTCTGTCAGATCACAAACTAATCTCCCCCCCCAAACAAAATGAGTAGACTGTCCTGGTCTGGGCAGTGTCCTCGCACCATCACTCTAAATACATGTAGATGTGACATTAAGCCTGAGCTCAGTGTTAAAGGCCACGTACACAATGCACATTTAAAGTCTTCTCTCAAACCCTCTAAATCCCTCTGCGTGTATTGGCGCAGCATTAAAATTGACCCATTTTACCCGGCGCCTCTTGTGATATCTGGGCACAGAGCTGAGATGCACAGCTGCTGTCATTAAACCTGCCTGGAAACGTGAGACTATTTCATGACTAACGCACACTATTTCTGAGGTATAAAGAGCGTAATGACAGCACTGGATACATTTGGTAGTGGTACTTGGCATACAAGAGTTCCTGAACCCTTCACGTGCAATTGATCTATCTCCAGTCTAGACCCTCGATGCATTTGACCATAACATGTAGTTGAGCCCCATCATGATTGAACAGCTTTAAATGTGTGCCAATTGCAAGGTAAATCTTCCCTGCTCTGTGCACTCGAATAATGACATGGTGATATTTTGTCTGTTAGCCAGGCTAATTTACTTACAATATTTAGTTTTGACGCTGCACAAGTAAATGGCCACATTCACGACCCATCAAACCATCTACCACTCCCAGTGCAGAGGGCTCCTCCAGAGGAAACGGTTTTCCAGAGATGGGGGCCGCAGTGCTGGAAAGATGCCTCCATAGTGTGTTCTGACTTTGGGAATGACTAGAAATCTGCTGCCGGTGAAGCAAAGGGGCCAGGAAGGCTCATAGGGTAAAAGCAGTTCTGAAAGATGAGGCCCAAGACTACAAGACATTTAAGAGAAACTTAAAATTCTCAGTCAAATTTGAATTGCATGTTTATTTTTTAATTTATATTTATGACTGTTAGATGAGATTTAAGTGATCCTTTCATTTGTTTAAATCATCCAAACAACCTTTCCCTGGAAATTTAAAAGACAATTCCTGTTTATTAGTTACTTGGCCATACAGTTTGGCATTTACAGGTTGAGATTAGGGATGCACTCGGCAGGTACTCAAGTAGACTATCAAAACGTGATAGTTATGTCATGAGCTGTGGCCATCACATTAGAAGCCCAGGGTGAGGGGCAGGTATCGGGTCGTTTTTGTGAAAGTATTGATGTGTCGGTGAATCCCCAGTTTCTTATGGTTTGGGAAACAAAAGGAAATCTCCTCAGTCTTATAGAATTGGCTACTAATTTCAGCTTAATGTTTAACTTGGAAGTACACTAAAAGTTGTGACCACCACTGGCCGTTAGGGTTAGTCGTTTTTTTTGAGTAAACCTTTCCCCATGCTTTCTAACTCTTATGTAATCTATTGTCTTCCCATCTAGTTGTATTTCCCATTAGTGCACTATGTTGAATCAAATCTACTAGGAAGACCTCCATCAAAATTTTCACAGCATAGAGATGCTAATGAACTGTGCTCAGATAACAAGCACATTTTTATTCTTTGGTGTGGTTATATCGGCTTATTTGGTAGTAGTGTCAATAGGTTAATAGTGTGTATCTACTGTGCTCTCGTTTCCTCCACATGTTTGACTCATTGTTCCAGTGTGCAGTTGTGCATTTCAGAATTAAATTGGTGTAATGGAAATCCTTTTTCTTCCTTTTCACAGGAAATCAGAGAGGGCAGATCTATCATCACTTTCTGGATGCAATAGAGCCAAACATTGGCATTCACGACAGGGAATGAAACCGGATGGGGTTACCATGGAGACCACTGAGCCTACCGAAGCTGTGGCCATAGCAGAGCCCTCAAACCCACCAAATGACTCCACTGATCAGAGTTCACCAGCACCAGAAGAAGCCAGGGGAGATGGAGACCCCAAAACAAGTGCAACTGCAGCTGTAAACGGAAAGGCTGCAGCTAAATCTTTAGCTGCAAAAAAACAGCCTGCCTCCACATCTGGATCCAGACTTGCGACGAGTTCTCGCCCCCCAGTGAATGATGCTAGAGCTTCAAAAAATGTTGCTTCAAAAACTGCCCCTGTTAAAAAGCTGCCCACAGCTTCATCAAGACCACCAGGAGCAGCAACGATGCCCAAAAAAGCACAGGCAGGTTGTCCAGGAAATGCATCAACCGCCAAGACTCAAGTCAAAATGCCTGATAAGAAAGCTGCTGGAACTGCAGCTGCAGCCACTTCAACATCTAATGGTACCAAACCTGCAAATGGCCCTTTAAAGAAAACACTGGCCACTACTAAACCCAAAACAGGTGGGATAAACTCAAAACAAGAAAATCCTATCCCATGTTTGTTGTTAATGTAGTTTGTGCTTGTTCAGGTGTAAACTCTTATCCAATGGCCTCCACTGCCCCAAAATCAGGCACTTCCACCTCGACCAAGCCGGATACTTCGGTGACAAAGACTACCAGGTCAGAAACAAATGCACTTCCTGACACAGCCCCCTTTTATGTCGGAAATAATAACAAACACCTATTGTAGGCCAGTTCATACCACTGTACTTTTGTTAGAATCTCATGCTTGATCATTTTAAAGTCCTTTTTTTTTTTCTTGCCCTAATTTTTAGACTGTATCTATGTCCATTTTTTAAGCATACAAGTGTCTCCTAATCTATGGAGAAAATCCTGTACAAACAGCCTGTGGGTGATTGTTTGTTCTGTGTTCCTTTCAGAGCACCAACATAATGATGCTCATTGTGGTGTTTGAGCGGTCATTGAGTCAGATTTCACTTAAAGAGAGTGAGTCATGGTAGTGAAGCTAACCTGAGACAGAGGGCCTCATCAGGCTGAACAATAGAAAAGAACTAGCCTTTTGTCCTAAATGTTTCCCGAAAAGCTGTATTTTCTAAATCTCCACAGTTTGATAAAACTACAGTAATGTATACTAAACTAGACCACATTCACGTTTTTTTTCACAAAAAAGCTGGTCAAATTAGCTTTTCTTTAGAAAATAAGTTTTAGTTTAATGCTTATGAACTGTCTTTTAAAATGTCAGCATTAATATTTTTTGATAGCTAACAGTCCTGCAGGGTGAGGTAAGAACTTGCTGGGCGGTGTTTGTACTTGTGAAAGGGTATCTGTTCATATCATTCAATGAAGTGCATATAGTCAATATGTTAGAAAGTTTATCTGAGCCTTAAAGGAATAGTTCACCGTTTTTACATACTGACATATGTTCTTACCTTACCTTAGACTAGTTAATATGTACCTGTCTGGTCTTAGTCCGTGCGCTCTGTCATGCAAACGGAGCAAAAACGGGAGCACAAACGCAGCCTCCTCTGTATATTGTGTAGGACCAAAAGGTAGCTCCCGCTAGAAGCTACCAAACTCTTCCAAGTGTTCCCTATTAAATGTATATAGTTACGTGACGTGTTACACTGCAAAGTATAGTAACACAGAAATGTAACAGTCGATTTTCTCAGCGGATAAAACGGGTACTATATTGTGAGGCGTAGTAATCTGAGGTGCGCTACGTCCGCGCACTAACTTCTCTCCGGAGACTTCTCTCTCGCTGCTACTGTGTGTACTACAAGTCACGCTGCTTCTATTGACGGAAGTGAGTGAGGTAAGAACATATGTCAGTATGTAAAAACGGTGAACTATTCCTTTAAATTGGCACATCCTTCAATGATGGGTTGTCCACACTTCCCCCTTTCGCCATCTGGATGATTGTGTTTGTACATTTCTGGGCAAAGTTAACATTCACACTGTTTTTGCTTCTCATACTATTTTTAAAATAAAGTAACATGTCCAAAACTTGAATAGTTAAAATCGAGGCTACTCCATGCTTCAGTGCTCTCCCATTTTAATTCCTTTTGGTGAAGTGATGGAATTTCTACAGGTTGGAGGTTTCCAGTGGTATTTATCACTATGACAGTAAAAGTCTTAGGCCCCTCCACTAATTTCATTGTCAAGGAGATCCCCAGACTCGGTGTCTGGGAGAGATTTGCTCACTCTGGCACACACAAGCCAAACAAGGAATTGTTCTGGTTCTCCCTGTCTCATTGTGTATCAATTGGAGTCTATCCATTTCCATCGGAGTTTGATAGATTTTATAGACTTTGTGGCTTTGAGTGAAGTCCTTTTTGTGGCCAGCCAGATGAACACAGCCCATACTTTATCAAGGGCTCATATTCTGAAATTATGTCAAGTCATAAAAAGTGACCTTTGTTCCCAGAAGACTTGTTTGGTCTCTGGAGTCCTTGGAATGGCTGCAAAATGCTCTCGTTCCCCACTGGTGTTTCCTATTGATTTCCATCCTTAGATGGGTGAAATGTGATCTATACACCTTCCACAGATGTACAAGACTTTATACCACAACCAGTATGCATTATCAGGCCTCTTAAGCCCATTTCCTGTCCCATTTATTATGACTCATCATAAAACAATGGAGGCCATTGTGTGGTTTATAGTCTCCCGTGACCTAAAGTTTGTCTCTATTGGCACGCATTATTTTCTTTTTATTTTTTTTACCTACAACTTAAATCTTTAATTTGGTTGGACTGCTCCTTTTAATAAATTGGTCATTTACAGAATGACGAGATGGATCTCCCAAATGTGCAATCGGGTTTCCTATTACGCTAATGAATGAGATTTTTTTCAAAGCGTTTTTGTTGTGGTGGTGGTTTATTCGACTAACTGCAGTGCTGAGCAGTGATGGCTGTCAGTATGAGATGGTAGACAAATGACCATTGTGATATATTGTTATGTGGGAGCGGCATTTGAGCAGGAAGGCTGCTCTGCTCAGTTCCAAATCATCAAAACATTTAGGAACCTAGAAAAGCAGATGACCAAAGCTGCCAGAGCTTACACCTTCTGTAATTAACTGAAGGTGAATAAATGATTTTTACCTTTCCCTTCTTGCCTTGAACAATAATTGGACAAAAAGTATTTAAAGCAGCTACAAAAAAGTAATTAATTTGATTTTTTTATTCATTTTCACTTAATTTACTTTATTAAAAATGGCATTAAAATCATAAATAATCACAGTACATAAAAAAATATAAAAATATAAAATCCTAATACTAATCCCGTGCGAATCTGCATGTCAGTGATTGATCGCTATTGCTGCTTTCTTTACTTTCTGCGTTGTTGCAGAGGAGTCGCGTATCGCGGCTGTGAACACCTGCAGAGTGTCTCTGAGGTCTATGGAGAAGTGTAGAGAACAGTGTAAAGTGTTCACTGACACATAATCAGACCGATGGTTGCGTTCGTATGTTTACTCTGCACTCTGTCCTAATACAGTACAGATGTGTTGCTGCAGCCGTTACTATTTGTCCCGTGCAAATGCGCGGTCAGATCTGACGTTCTCTGATTATCGCAAATTACCAGGGGTCCCCATGTAAAACTAATCCCGTCCGAATAGGGCTTAACTTTGTGTGGTAGCAAGTTTAGGTTTTATGGGAATCAAACTCAATTGTCACTATTTACCAGCCTTGTGACTCACCACCTTTTTTATTCTGTTGATCTCAGAATATCTATAGATCTTATGGCAAAAGTTGTCTTAAATTGTTTTGAATTGGTGATTGCCTAATGTTTCTCGCTTTTCCTCAAAGATCCTGGATGAAGTTGTTTGAAGAAAGATCACCATAGTATCAGGCGATAGCATCAACTTGCATTGTCTTTAAAGAAAAATGGTATGCTTTCAGACCTGCCACAGTCCTGCAGACTTCCCGTGCAGCCGGCAAGCCCACCACAGTGGCAGCCACTACAAAGTCCCTCTCCACAGTCTCGAGAACCACTGCCCCCAGAGGGGCTACTACTGCGCCCCCATCTGGCAGAACTGCAGCAGCACCTCCTAACAAAGTTTCTGGAAAAAAAGGTAAGCCTTTATCAGCAAAGCTATTAGGTATGCATTGGAAATTGAAAATGAATTATGTTATTCTTGCATGCCAAGATGATGCAGAGACTGAATGTCAGTCAGCCTATTTAAATTTGATTGCTTTCTTCTTTTATTCATTAGATGTTGTTCGACCACCTGCTGCAGCTGTGACCAAAAAACCACTACACATACCTGGTGCAAAAAAAACAGACTCCAAACCAGCAGTATGTGTGAGGCCCAGCATGACTTCTACAACCACAAAAGTTGATCAAAAACTACCACCACCACTAACTAAACCCCAGCCCACGACGATGGCCAATGCAACAAAGAAATCGTCTGCAGCTGCTACACGCTTCCGGATCGCACAGACCCCACCTGGTTCACCAATGGGCAAATTTCCAGCTGCCAGAAACGCCCCACAATCCAAAATCTCACACAAGCCCACTCAGGCAGTCCCACCTTTCGGTGCCAGCAAGAGCACAGGCAAAACGGGAGCTTCCAAAGCAGCTGCTGCAACTCCAAAGAAGACTGCAGGAGCCACAGGAGCTGTGCAGGATGCACAAGTGCCACCACAGTCGTCTGCACCAGATTCTTTCGCTGATCTTGTGGCTCCCGTCTCTGCTCAAAGTATTATGTTGGAGACTGCAGAGAAAGATGCTGAAATTAAAATTTCTTCAGCCTCTCAAAGTCCATTAACTACTTCCTCACCTCAAATAGAGCCCTGTGTTCCTGATCCTTCTGCACATGAGCTTGTCCAAGCTGCATTCCATCCCTCTCCGGTGGCTGCATCTCTGCCTCAAGAACTCAAAAACATTTCCTCTGTAACTGAAACTCAAACGTTGCTGCTTCCGAAGCATACCCTTGAGCCTGAAAATGAGCAGCCTTTGTTTGTCCCCTTCAACAATCTGAATGATGATGAGGAAGAGGAGGAGAAGGAGGGTAGTCAGTTAGTTTCTGTATCAGAAATGAGTGGGACGACACAGCCCACGGAAGAGTCTCGTCCTGGGTCCGCAGGTCCACTCGGGGCTTCTGCCTGGCGAGTAGGTGGGGCTTTACACTCTGAGCTGGACTCTGAGGAGGTGAGTGTCAGTCAGCAGGGTGCCTCTGAACTCAGTGCCCCTGGAGTCCTGGAGGGAACTGAGAGCATGGATGATCTGGGGGAGGGCAGTCTGAAAGGGGCCATGGATATGGAGGGTGCCTCGGCTGGTTCCCCTGACTTTGAAAGGGTTCCTGAGATCCCAGTGAATGACGATGATGACGACGACGATCGCGTTTGTGACATGGACGTTGGATCTGAGCGAGCAGATGAACCCCAGAGACATGACAATGATGTGGATGATGAAGATGAAGATGTAGAGATGGCTAGTGAGGGCATCACAGAGAGTGGCCTGGAGAGCTATGGAAACGCAGATGAAGATGACTTTGCTGAAGATGAAAGATTGGACAATCTAAACAGAATGGCTCAGCCACCACCCCCTCCTCTGCTTCCTTCAGCTCCTGCTGCACAGTGGGATCAGCCCAATCCCTTCTCTGGTCCATGTGCCGTGCTTGTACCACATCAGTCCCCATCTGAAGCTGCAGAGTCAGGAGCGCAGGTTGAAGAGGCTGCAGAGAGTCCACTGACTGACCCCTGTCAAGGAGACTCTGAGACTCCAACACAGGAGTCTGGTCAGGTCTGGATGGAACTTGGCTCTGCAACAATCATAAATGAAAACCAAGATGACCCTGAAACTGTCTTTGACAAAAAACCCTTGACTCCCGAGCCTGCCGCCGAGCCTGCCCTCTCACAAACTGCCCTCTGCGCCCTTGAGTCTTCACTGTCTCCAATAAGGAGCGGGCCTTGTTCTGAGGAAACGAAGGTCCTGAGTGTGGAGGATGTGCCTGAGCCTCGGTCCTCTCCACAGCTTGAGCAGTCTCATGGCAGGGCGCCAGACGACACTCCTGCATGTGAATCTTCCAATGGCCCAGCCTCCAATCCCTCCTCATCTTCTGTGACCGAGGACGAGGCCAGTGACACAGAGGGAGAGGCTCAACTGGAAGACTCCCTGGAGCCATCAATCGATTGCAATGTGACCTTTGAGTGCATGTCCCATGGCCAGCGCATGCTGTCCATAGTGGAGGAAGGTGAGGAGCCACAGGACCGTGGAGCTCCTGAGGATGCGACTCCTTCTGCTACCTCACTAGTGTCCTTTGGCTTAGACCCAACCACCTTAGCGTCCAACTCCAATGCTCAGTCCACAGAGAGCTGCGTGAAGAGCCCTGGAATCTTTTCTGTGGAGGAGCTGCCGGAGGAGGCCAGAGAGCTGGATTTCACCCACATGCATGTAGCTAGTGTGTCCAATCAACCTTACATAGAGTGTGGAAAGCACCCTGTGGACTCTGAGCAGGCTGTGGAAAGCAACATTGCAATTCCAGACAAGGTTTATTCCCCGTCACCGGAGCCTCAACCGGTAGAGCAGACTGCTCCCCTTGGCGACCTCCAGCCTCCCTACTATTCAGCTATCTGTGAAAAGACTGAGAGTTTCGCAGGTAACGTATAGTTCACGTTGATTGGTTATTGTTGTAGTGCTGGATGTCTGTTTTTATAATATTTTGAGTGGCCCTGACAAGTTATTGGGTTGGAAAAAGGAGAGAAACTAAATGTGTGGCTCAAATTCCTTTATGTCCATCGTGAAAAATTTAACAAATGAGCACTTTTTGTCTTGCGGCATGGTTTTAATACTACTATTACACTAAATGAAAGAACATTGACGTATCCCTGGTGTGAACGAAGAAGAAATTGTGACAAAATGCACTTGGATTAATAAAAATCACAATGTATGGTCGTTATGCCGACGCTCAATATTGTATATATTACTAAAAGTTTGACTTGATCCATGTTACAAGCGGTCTTCCTCTGAAGCACTTCCTTTTTGTCTTGCACTTTAACTTAAATGTTATTTGGCCTTTAATGCTTTTTATAATTTTTTTGAATAATGGAATGTTTAATAAAACTTTAAATAAAGATTACGTTTTTACTATGGTTTATTCTCTATTGTATACTTTATTTTATCTGAAATTCCTTACAGTGAAATATTTACGTGTGTATATAAACTTCTAGAGGTGTATTATACTGCTAATCCATAAGTCCTTATCCCCATTTGAGACTGAAGATTCACTAAAGTGCTGAACTTGAAATTCTGCATTGCTGAAGTTGCGTACATGGATTCAGCTTTTCCCAGAAACTAGAAGATTCCAGATCATTGTGAGGATCCACACTCTTACCACAACTGCCACTACTGGACTTCCCGTTCCTTCACTGCGGGTGTTCGAGCTTTTTGTCCACTGCACTTTGGTTATTTGTTTCTCATTTTAAAAGTGGGCTGAGCTTCTGCATGCGACTGTTGCACAATGATTGTCATCTTTATTCTTTGGAAAAGTTTTGCTTAGCCTTTGAGACTAAACTTTTGAATTTTTTTTTTTTAATTCTGTACATGTATGAATGTATAATTGCATGGGGAGCTTCTGCATGTGTCACAAGGTTTATGTCCATGAGGTTTCATAAAGGTAGTAATAATGGCTTATCAATGTCATCACAATGGGTTTCACATATAGGAACTTGGCTGCGCACAATGTTTCTTTTTAAAGGTCACAAATGTGCACAAATTCTCTCTGCTTACTTTTTCCAACCCACTGTTTATTGCCACATCACTCTTTTGCATTGGGCCACAATGGGATTTGTATTGCACTTGTTATTAATGCATCAGCAGTCTGTTATATCCTCCTTGCCTGCACTCACTCCTGCTGTTTTTCTGCTTTCCACTTTTTCCATTATCTCACTAGTTAACGTATGTCTCACTCTCTCACAGGCTTCACTGCACTGCTGCACCCACAGCGCCGTGACCACTCTTCCTACCCGCGCACCTACTGTGACATTGTCAAACCAATCAATGCTGCGCTCGCGTCCCCCAGGCTGAGCTGCACAGACCTCCCGCCCCGCAGCCCCAAACAGCAGTCCCTTAGTCCACAGCTGCGCAGGCTGGAACAGCACCAGCGCCACCTACAGGAACTACAACAGCGCCGTGAGCAGCAGAGCAGGCCCATGGAGGAGGCTGAGCAAGAGAGGAGGACGAGGGAGGAAGAAGAGGAGAGGAAGAAGAAGGATGAGGCTGAAGAGGAGATAAAAAGGAATAAGCGGAGGCTACGAGAGCAAGAAGAACTTCAGCAAAGGAAAGCGCTTGAAATGCAGCTGCAGCAGCAACAAGAGGAGCTCAAACAGCGACAGCAGATTATGCAGTGGCAACAAGAACTAGAAGAGTCCAATAATGAACAGCCTCTGCTTCTGTCGCCCTCGTCCGGGCTTTGTACTATTTACGAGGCGCTGGAGCAAGATGAGGATGAGGCAAAGTGTGAGGACAGAGTTAAGGGGCTCAACCCAATCGCAGAGAAGGACTTTAAGAGTAGCGAGGTAGACAGTGGCTGTGCGAGGGTCACTCCTGAAACTCAGATTAGTCCCCCACCTCCACAGGATGCTCCGCAGAGACTGGATTGTCCCACACAGAACGGAGACCATGATTCTTCAGAGTCCCCTGAAAGAGAGTCGCCCCGAGAGCTGGAGTGGGGAAAGAAGGTTGACATTGTGCATCAGCTGATCAATCAGACACTGCTGTTGAATGGGGATGGTTGCTCTTCCTTGCTGCTGCTTCCAGGGGGTGCAGGGGGGACTCTGAGCCCCCTGGAGAGCAGCTTGTGGCCCACCCTGCTGCCTCCTCTTACCCCTCCCTCAGCCACGGTTACCTCTGTGAGCAGTTTCTCCCCAGAGATCACCGGGACATCTCCTCAAGGGGAGTGGACTGTGGTCGAACTGGAAACTCATCACTAATTACCACTAGCAGATTCCGTATAGTTTGGTTTGTAAAGCGTGCTCACAGGGTAGCAAGCACACTGGAGGGGTAGAAATGGCACTCATAAAATCTTGGAAAAGTGACCATTATCCAGCTTAGCTGGGGTTCCCATTTAAAAATTAAAAATAAATTAAATCCATGGAATTTGTTCCTGGCTCTAAAAGTGTTTTTGTCTCTAGTTTTGACAAATATTTTAAGTAAGCCTTTTTGACTCATTGGGCTCTTTCTTGCAACATGTATCATTTTTAACGCTATGATTTTACTTGACAATCGGGACAGGTTTGGAACCCCAGCTTTAGATATGGGCTGAATCTACAAACGGCATTTAATAGCCACTCTAATAGTGTTACAATCTATATATTTTTTACATGAACAATTTCACTGTGAAACATAAAATCACATTTATTTATTTAGTAACCGGCCAATGCCTGGACTGAGTAAACATCCGATGAACTGAAACTCTGCACCTTTGGCCATTCCACTCCTGTCCCCAATCTTGCCCCAGACACTTGTGGGCCGTGTCCCGTTTCAATCACTAAAACGAGGTGCAAATGGACACGCTTTGCTCTCATGTCGCTCTAACACTATGTGCCAAAATGTGTTACTCTTCCACATGTTCTTGCCTATCATTAACCACAGTATATGGATGTCAAAGTACTAATACTGTTTCTTCCTGATAACCACTATTAACGGAGAAATTGCACTAAATATTTATTTTGGCAAAACACTAACCTGCTAACATTATTCCTGTCTGTCACTTCTGATTTTAGAATAATCGCATTAACATAAGCATTTACGTCTGTTTGCACACAACTTATTTTGTGTTTTTCATCAATTACAATTTCCATTCATTTAATAAACAAACTCTGGGATGTAACCAATATTGCTGTGAATCAAACCGTATTGAGAATGCACCAAACAATTATTCAATGTGGTGTTTTTAAAACATACTAAAAGTCTTATTGCCGCTTATTACACCATAGATGTCTCGATGCTAATTATTTGTCACTAATAACTGCTTTTATTGCCTAATGTAGCAAATGTATAGACTGAGCTATTGTCTTTACGCTACATTTGCAGTCATGGAAATGTTCACTGCTTTGAAACCTGCTACTAACAGCTTTAGCTCTACACATGTGAGTTTCTCAATTCTTTCAGTGCGTTTAAGCTCTTGAGCTTTATTTTTTTTACATTAGTTTCCATACTGTACCTCATGGACAAGCCCATGTTTGCTGATGAGCTTCCCTCAACTACTGTGTTTGCAAATCTATGTACTGTTGACTGTTCAATGTATTCAAGATGTGTCTATTTTTCACTTTAAATCTGAAGTTCTACTCGAACAATTTATATTAGAAAGTTTGAATTAAATCTAGAAATTAAGAATGGATTTGCTTTAAATCTAAAACTACTTTGTTCAGAAAGTTTGTTTACTCAATGAAGGTAGCCTCCTACTTCAGTATGAGGTAAAGCCTGCTTGTGTCTTAATTGAAATATTGACTGTTCCAAAATGAGCAGGGTTCTTTTACCCAAAAAATGGCAGCTTCTTTACAATGTGTATTGTATGTGTAATTTCAACACAAAGTATAAATAAAATGTTTTAATACTGCTTTTGGCATTTTTGTATAAACGCACATTTCACAACATTGAGCAAAGTGCAACAAATTCTATAATACAGATTCAAATCTTCACACATAAGATAAATATTACTGAAATTTTAACTGTCATGTGTTTGTATTTACAACTCCAAGTGGAACTTTTGTCCCAGAACTTTGCGTCACTTCTGGTCCAACATCAACAGCTGCAGTAAACAGTCCGTCGCAATGCAACAGGACGGCTCCTCTCTGCCCAAAATGACACGTTTCAGATAAGTGCCCTGGGGAACCCTGCAAAGGGTCCTGATGGAAAAAAATAAACCGTTAAACAAACTTAAACTATGGATCCATAATCTACGATTGTGCTTGAAACGCCGTCAGAAATGTCATCCATGTTTTGGAGATTAACAATGATAAAACGTTTTTCCCCACTCTTCATTAGTTATTGCATGAATGTGTATATTTAGAGTTCAATATACACTACATCAACATTCCTTGCATTGTTTTTAACATACAAAATACATGTACACCAGTGGGGGTGGGTCTTGGCTCAAACGTGGCCAAAATGACGTGCGCTGACATGCTTGCAATAACTCTCCGGGCCAATGCTAACATATAGCATCTTCTTACCTCTCAAACGTCTTTACAGGATGGTCCAAAAGTTGGCTCTTAGCCCAAAGTGTCGTTCCACATGTGTGTCAATGCTGAGGGGAGTGAATGTCTTTGGACCACTCTAGTTTAACACAATTTTTGGCACGGCGGAGATAGGCGTGACTATGTCCATTAATATTTAGTCTATGATGTACACACATAATACAAAAATACTGTACATATCAAAAAGAACCAAGAAGCATATAGCGGGTTAATGTGCAACAAGAAGCGCAATGATCCCAGCCAATCTAATAACACTGGTATCAAACAAGTTTTTTATTTTCAAATGAAAACATTTTTGAGCCACTGGAGGGATCTCAAATTTTGTAAGGGCAGCTTTACCATTACTAACACATAACACTCCAATCTGTCATAGATGTTAAAGGGGGAACAATTTCTGTAGTATCTGTAATGCATATTTTGCAAGTGGAAACCTGTTTATTTGCAAATGGCTTCACACAAGCCCTAGCAATGAAAAAAGTTGTTACTGCATCATAATCACGGACAAATTTCCCAAAAAAGTGTGTGTCTGTTTGTCTGTGTGTGAGTGTGTGACCCACCAGTCATTGATATCCTCTGTTTCAGGGCTCACTTGGAGCCACTGACCAATAGACCACATTCTCACACTCGCGCTTTGAGAGAAGGTTGGATTGTCCCCGTCTGGAAGCACGTCAACATCTTCACAGCATAAGAAGTAACTGCAAGGAAACGACACATTTTGTTTTAAGGAGGCTCCATTAAAAGACATGACATTACACCAATATTTACTATTCGGTGTCGTCTGCTTCCATTGCGCCCGGATGGTCTACGTTCCACCGCATGCGTTTGTACAGCCCTGTGTTAACCTCAGCCAAATATGGAGTGGGCTGACAGTACCGGAAAATGGTAACGGTCATTGAGCCTAACCCACATTGGCCAATGTAGAAATGTGTGATGCTTTAAATACAGATATTTTATTATTTTTGTGGCATTATTTTGTCCAAATTGATTACACTGCATTTGTAGTTTACCTGTCAGGCTCTGTCTCATCCAAAGGCAGAAGATCTTTGCTGGCACATGTCAACACTAAATTCTCCAGTTTGTTACAAAGAATTTGAGAGAAATCAAACATCTGAGAACGCTAAGAAAAAGGGGAAAGGATAAAAGGAGTTAATGCTGTCATTACATATACACAAATGGTTCTATGTTTCACCACAATGGATTTTAAATGAAACAAAAAAGCTGTACTTGTATGCAGTGTCCACTTTAATTCAGGAAAATCTATTGGTACCTTCAAATTGAGTGAATGTGACGGAATTGCCACAGGATTTTATGTGATCATTTTTTTGGGGGCTCAAAAGTATTGGGACAAAAAAACATATTTCATTATTATTTGAAATAATACTAGTACACAGGCAGAGGACAAATTCTTAACTTATTCAATTCAAATATCTATCATTAGACATAGATAGATAGATAATATAGAGCAGTGGCAGTGAGTGTAAGAGAAGGAACAACAGTCCACTTTAGCCTCATGATCGGTGTGTCTCAAAGTTAATGTACATGTCAATATATGGAAATTGTGATATTTGGATCTTTTGAATTTTTGGCACAGCCTTTTATTTTTATTTATATACTTAGTAGCAAATGCACAAAGTCAATTTCATCCTGAAGTCTGGAAGGCACCTGACACTGAGCTGTTCAGTTCTAGTAGTTCATGGACTATTTCTAGTTATTCATGGGCCATTTTACGTTCAGTTTTGTCTTTACCAAGTGAATGCATTTGCAATTCAATTCAGATTATGTAAATGAATGACCCACTGCATCATGTTGTACTTTTTCTCTTAAAACAATATATTTTTTAATGTGCTTTGGGTCATTGTCCATCTGCATATTCAATATTTGACAAGCACACATATACGCCTAGTTCTTGCAGAGTTTTGGATCCGTCCAGCTGTTGTGAAGGGCTTTATCCTCACCGGGGAAACATTTATTCTGACATATCTGTGGTTTTCTTTGTTTTCCCAGGTCTTTTTGTGTTGCTAACCACACCTAATGTTTTGTCATCTCTCTCAGTTTTTGTTGTTCTTTGTTCTGCCTATTTATTGTTTACGGTGAAATGGGATGAAGAAGAAATAACAGATATTTATTGACATTTATCAACATTTATGAACATTGGTCATCTGCATTTCTTGTGATTTTAATTCCTCCGAGATAACTACTGTTGTGATTTCAGGCTGTACAAAATTACATTGAATTGGATTGGCCATGTAACAGCTGAGCAGCCACAATACTTTTGAGCCCTTTGAAAGTGGGAGGCACTCATAAAAATGTTACTTACATCTTATAAATATATGAGAAAATATGAGTCTTGTGTCCATGTGTATAATTTATAGTAGCTAATCTAATGTAATACACAAAAGCATACCATTGATTCAGACAAAAGGTTGTTCTCATCCCATGGGCTTCGAGCTGTTGATTCAAGGTGCAAGAAGTAAGGTTGACAGATGAATAGAAAACTTTTGACAGTGGAAGCATACTCTTCTCTGCCTGAAACCCTGCACACAACACAGATGCCTCAATATTTTGCCTCTGATTTATTTGCACAAATGAGGTTAAGAAAGTGAGTGTACTTTTCAGAGAGACTTCTCTGGATGTTGTCTGCTTTGTTGAGGAAGAAATGGAGCTGCAGATCTACTGGCTGCATGTTGGAATCAACCGATCCCTCGTCCAGACAGCAGCAAGTGTCACAGACGCAACTGTAGTTTGTGTGTTTGCCACACAAGGACGCCAGAGGGACATCAGCCAACAATGAGAGGGTCTCTACAGCTGAGGAAGACACTACAGATCAACAAAGTACCTTCTTTATGTACTGAAGAACATATTCACTTCCTGTTGTTGTACTTGTGTTATTACTGATATCTATACATATATTGACTATAATCCCCCTTTCTCTAAAAACTGCTTAAAAACGGTCAAATTAAATCTGTATTTGTTAATGAAATGTTTGAAGAATAAACTAATGGCTGGTTTCTTGTGAAGCTGAGCACCTCTGATTTGGGCATGTGTGGTGTGTGTGAGTATGGTATGTGTGCTAAGTATTTGTTGTATTATCATTATTATATTTTTGTTGTTTTATTATTACTGTCTATTATTATAATTGTTGTTGTTATAATTATTTTGTTTTGTTTTGTTTTATTTGACTGTATCTACTCTGCTGTTCTATGTTATTTGGATTTGATCATGAGGACCCCCCACGAAAACGAGATGATACATCTCATGGGGTTTATCCTCCAATAAAATGTCCATAAATAAATAAATAATTAGGTGAAAACGTAAAATACAATTCCTTTTAGGGGGAGTGGAGTAAGAACACGCACTGGTCGGGATTAATCTCCAATAGGCCCATTTGGTTGAAAAACTTTATTTTGATGTATCACATACCCAGGAGCTTGATACTTCTGTGCAGCTCCATATATTTTAATCTGAAAGGTTAACAAAGTCCTCACCTGTGTAAGCCTCGTTAGAGCAGCACAACTCCTCCATCCCCATCTCGTGCTCTGCTGTTTCTGCCATCACTTCAGGCCTGTGTGCTGCTAAAGGTCATGCAAGTTGATCTATAAATCTAACAGACAGACAAAAACACAATTATAACACTCAATAAACAATATTCTTACCCAAACGCTGTCTGGTATAGTAACTTCGCTAACCTCGGCTAAAGTGCGCGAAGCAAGCGTCATTGGTTTGGTGGGAATGGAAAGGGGAAAGGTCAATTAGAAAAAGCAACAATAGCAAACAAATCATGTCTATTTATTATCACAGAAATTCATAATATACATGAGTTTGTTTAAATGATACTAGGGAAATACAGAGCTATTTTTGTTGTATCTTTTGTTGTATAAGCACTGTAAATGCTTTTATTAAGTAGAGGAAACCCGTGACAGAAGTTGCGGTGGGAAAATATTAGATCTTTGTTTTGAGGCGTGAGCATCGGGGGGGGGGGGGGGGGGGGGACTATACTTTTTTTTTTTTTAAATAAAACACAGAATGATGTTCAGGACTGTTTATTTACGATATTTTTGCAACACTAAAAACAAGGCCCAATACGAGACTAAAAAAATAAAATAAATATCATTGACATTCTGTGCCATGGTCTGTCCTGAAGCCCAAATGAAAACAACAACATTTGGTTGAATACTACTTTTTAATAATTGAAATGTCTGGCTGGGCGTTTAACATGATGTAATGAAACTATTGTGCCATTCACCTGTAGCAAAAAGATAAACCTTTATTCGTCCCTCAGTGGTGACATTTTATTTTAATTAAAGAACGAAAGGAGAAAATAAGGTCACTCAGGTTGCACACATCAAAAATAATCTATTATTTAAGATAATAGATTAGAAAATATATAATAACAAGTTAATGACATACAACTCTAAAGCTATTGCGCATGAATCAAGGATAAGTTGTGGAGTATATAATATACTCCACAACCTCAAGACTGCTGCTAACTACAACATATAATATACTGTATATTATATGTTGTAGTTAGCAGCAGTCTTGAGGTTTCACACTTACAGAATATGGCCAAAATAAACTATAGTTATAGCAACAGGTAAGCCGGCTAGTGAATTATCAGATGAATAGAATGTAGAATGATCAGACTCAGCAGTTATCATTTTACAGTCTGACAGCAGCAGGAAGGAATAATGTGAAAAACTGTAAAACAATGTGCAATATGGCATCACACTGTTTCCACTGACATGATTTCACACATTTATCTGGTCATTATACATTCTGTATTTCCTAATGCTGCCGGTGAATAGTCAGCCATATGCAGTATGCAGTATGCAGTATGTTGGTAGTATGCTTACGTACAAGATTATCACATGTTGAAACAGCCGGGTATGTGTCGTACTGTTGTAGTACCGAATAGTGCCACAGGATGTCGCCTCACTCATAATACTGCTCCTCTGTTAACACACTTTTCTTTTGCCATAAAACACGCACGCATCTCTGTGCTCGTAGCAGGTGGAGCGGGTAGAAAGACTTACGTCAAGTAGGATAGAGCCGTGATAAAACATGTACAGAAAGTACGTATGTGGCAACCAAGGGGTTAACAGATTAGCAATGTACAAGATATAAAGTGTTGCAGCAATGCCACCCTGATATTACAATGCAACAATGAGTCAAAACAAGAAAACATTATTTGACAAATCAAATTACATCACCAGTGTGTGTCCGCGCGTGTGTGTGCGTGCATGAGCGTGTAATTCAGGTTTCTATATATATAATTAATTATATAGGATATTTCAAACTTGTCAATCGTATTTTAAATCTTACCAAACGTCATAGACTATAGACTTCTGCGTGTGTGCGGAGTGTTGCCTGTACATATTCAACAGTTTGTAGCGTTTATTGACATTACAGTTGTAGTTTGTACTGAGTCACATGACACATCCGGGCGCGTCCTTCTCTATCAGCGCTGGACCATAAAGCTAGAGAGACCACATCAACTGCCGCAAGACGGGGGCAGCCATATTGTGACTGTAAAAAAGCTGCACAAAATAATGTTACACAGGACCAGGCATCATTGATGTAATGTGATCAGAAGACCATATATTTTCTGTGAAATATAACAAATTAATATTCTCAAAGGAGGGTCAGAAATAGGATCATATCATCACTGTCATCATATTTTTTTCTTTAAATAACTATGTTTTGGATTCCAGCATAATAAACCATATTCTGAACATATTTACTCAAATGTATGTGGGCTTGTTCATTCTAAAGGATACAAAGGATACAAAAGTGTGACAGAGGGCAAAACATTAGATTTTAATAATAATAATAATAATTAGATTAGTGTTTTAAATTTAGCCCAATACCGCTTCTGTCCATTAGTAGTTGCTGGAAGATAACAGTTGTATACATTCATTAAATTTTCTCTAGTGGCTCTGTTTATTTGCCTGACGGACGTGATGCCTTTGATGGAATGAGCTGCGGAAGTTCGTTACATATATTCAGATTGGATTCTTGTAGAACAAAGTGATTACTTTCATATAAACCAATTAAAAGTGATACTAGACCATCATTTTTTCTCAAGTTTAATTTTTAGGAAAAAAAAGACAGAAATCATCACATCCGTTACACATTTTTCAAGGGTCATTTTTCAAAAATGATTCCCTTTTAAATGAAGTAATTTACTTATGTTGTGTTAGCCATGTTAATCTAGTGGGAGTTCAGCTGCCACTTTGTCACTGATGACTTTTTTTTTTCTATGTAACTGGAGTCACAATAGAATCAAATAATCAAAATCAAAAATGTATTTGTCAATCCTTTGTTTTGATTTGATTTGAAATCTTTTTTTACCAGATCATGATCATGTTGACCATATTTGTTTCTAAATGCTTGTATATATGTTGTATTGAAGTTACTTCCAGGATAAAAATGCAGTTAACAGTCATTCCAGCAGATACTGAACGTACATTAGAATATGAAATTAATAAGATGTATTAGTGTGTGTATGTATCGACCATTCTTTTTTTCAAAGAATCATTTGGACATATTAGTATCAGTGCCTCTGCCAAGGGTGATGTAATCACCAGGTAGTGTTTGTTGGTCAGTTGTATAGAACATAACTCAAGGAACTATGGGCGTAATGTTTGTTTTGGCGGTGATCCGGATCGTGTTTGGATCTGGTCTGGTGACTGGACCAATTCTGGTTCACTTCTGGTTGGCAAGAATACAAAATATATACATATACAACCACCAAACAAGTGAATTTAAGTCAGTTTAAATATTTTGAAACAGATCTGTGAAGAATTATTGCCCCAAGTGAACCACACTTAGTCCAGTCAAAGTGAACCAGACCACCAAGTGAACCCCTCCGAAATGGCACTGCGTGTCTTGATAATATCGCGATCTCCTTATGATATGTCTACTACCTCAGCCTCAGATCTATTATAATAGAGCCATGACCTCGCTGGACAGTCACAACATGGCGGCGAGTCCAACGCACGGCTCAGCTCTCTCTAGCGCTGACGTGACTCACGCGGACGCGCTGAGCCTGTGTACAAGTGCTGCGCGTGCTCTGTCTGCAGCCACACTTAGCCACACTTCCATACAGACTTCACAATTTATCATTCCGCGTCTGTTTCCAGGAGCCTCGCGTGTGTATATGTTTCAGGACACTTTGTTTTGCCTTTTGTCTACGCCTCCACCTTTGTTTTAGCGCCGAACAAGGCCGGGGAAGAGAAGACTTGACAGGCGGCTTTTTGTGGCATGTGATACGGACAAGAGACAAGGCGTGTTCACGTTACACGAATGTTCCCCGGCAGAAAGAGAAGAAGAGTGGACTCAGGTCTTTCTCATTATTATTTCGATCGGCTTTTCTGATGATGTTTGAGGCGCGGACGTGACTGGCGATCAGTCCTGGTGGTGGATTGGACTGGGCTCGCTGTTGAATGGGAAAGGCGCTTAGAGGAAGAACAATGTGCCGTCGGATGCTCTGATGCGAATGACCATAGCCTTGTTAAATGTGACTTAGTGACTGCACATTTCCAAAACAAAACAAATCTACATTTAGACTTTGTGGATCACCTATTGACTGAACGTCTTTGTCATCAGGATCTTTGACAAAGTTTGTGTAAATTAGTCAAAGGAGTAACTTCATCTGCAAAAATTTTATTTGGATGATCCACAAAAGACACCGCTGACTGAGGACTTTATCTTACAAATAGTTTATCAGTGAAGCCTCGAAGACAAACCACACCTGAGACGACCATGGCAAACGACTCAATACAAGTAAGTTGGCGAATCTGCTCTGCTTTGAATCTCTTTGCTCATTTCCATTGACTTCACGGATGCTTGTGCATTCTGGGTGGCCCACATGGCTTCTTGTCTTGCCTATGTGAAATATCAACTAGTTTGGCTGGTGAAACAGTGATCATCAGCACACCGCCAGGAGGAAGCCTGCGAGTCCAATTAGAAATGGATATTTTTAATGAATAATGTACTACGGCTCTTGTACAGCTCATAGGCAGGAGTGTATTGTTTTTAGTGAGGCTTCTCTCTGTCATCAGTCTTGTTGTGCAGGCAAAGCAGTGAAGATGGTCTATAGTGGCTAAATAGTGGCGTTTGTCACTAAACATCATCTTCTCCATGGGTACAGTTTCTTAGTTTTGTCCTTGTTATTTCAAAGAAAACAATCCTTTTGAATAGTTAACGATTGGCTGAGGCATTTCGTTCATGTCCATATAGTTAGAATGGTCACATAGGTACACAGGTAATACTAATGTTGTAACCAGATTATTGGAACAAAGAGGGTGTATTTTTTCTTTGTGATGTCTATGTCCCAAGTTCCTTAATTCTTTTCCTTCACTCTATCTGTATGTGTGCTTGTTGTCTCTAGGAAGCACTGAACTGAAGCATGTGCCTGTAGTTACAGCCCAGCCAACTTTTAATTAACACTTCTCAAATGTGCTATTGGACACCTTTTGAACTTTTTCTGCTGTAGATTAGTTTACCACCCAAACAGGGCTAATCCAAGCTTTGGCATATGTCTTTTAAGGCTGACAAGGGGGGGAAAAATTACTTGTTATTACATACTGTGGACCTAGTGTACAACATGTGTTGTGTTTTATAGAAAAACACTATGACTAGAATCTACGCTCAAAACAAGTGTCCCTTGTTTCGACAAGTTCCATGTCGACCATCTTTAGGATTTGTTTCTGTGTTTTATGATTCTTTGTCCAATAGTCCGTTCACATTTCTAACATCTCTTGCATTTATTTACCTAGAGGTTCCTTGAATATTCTTTCTGTGCATGTGCTCTACCAACCTCTGTCTGACAACCATAATGGCCTCTGATATCTGCTTAGCTGATACGTAGCTGCTGCTGTAGCCAATATAATAAAACACTTTTATCATGCTTTACAGACGGATGGAGCCCCTCAAAGCTCTACACTTCACTTAAGGCCTGAAATGAACAATTATTTTGACAATCCATTAGTTCTTCAAATTAATGAAGTCAATCCGTGGCCATAGAATATCTGAGTTAGAAAACCTCTTCTCAGCATGTTCAAGTGTATGTAAGTTTCAAAATATGATTGATGATTGATAGATTAATTGATTATTAAATTAGTACACTAATCAGCTCTTTCAATAATCAATCCATTGCAATTAATCTATTAATTTGTTATTTCAATACTCTGGTGGCGGCTGCTTTGGGTTAGACAAGAGGCTGTCAAACTGCCATCAGCCCCTATAGCCCCTGCCAAGCCTTCAGTCACTCACTAGATAGTAGACCGTGTGTAGGTTGTCCATACTGATGAAATTAGTTTCATTAAAATGTGCCTATATGCCTATTGTTTTGCTTACTCATTTTTATAAGTTAGAATAGAAAACAATATCCTGATGATGGTCTACTATTGCCATTCGTGAAGACATTAGTCCAAACTATGTTAAAGAACAAAGTTAAGTAAAAGTGGTATCGCAGTGGTGTCCGGGAGATCACTGTGATGGAACATAAACTGTTGCAGAAAGCACCTTTTTAATAGTGTTTATTGGATATTTGTTGTCTTTATTTCAATGGTAATTGTAAGGATTGTATATCAAGGGAACATTCATAACTTATTTGGAGGAACCCTAATTTAGATTCTGGGCAACCACTGTTGGAGAACCAGTGGACCCAGGACACCACAAAGTCTACTACAAATATTATAGATAGATAGATATTCACACATTGCTGGTGTGTGCTTGCTACTCTTTTCTCATTTTCTCGGAGTAACACAAACGGCTCGACAGAAAACATACACCAAAGCCTCAACATAATGTTTCTACGGACAAACATGGATATTACACGCCCCATAGATAACGCCTGACACAGTCAGACACTCAGGGGAACGCACAGAGAGCACTTCCCATACAGCGGCTGCATGACGTAAGGAGACAGTTATGCACAAAGTCGGCTTTTCTCAGAGCTGCCCCGTGGCCATGTAGAGCCCACAATAATGCATCATGAAAAAGCACTGCAACAGGAGGCTTTGGGCCCTAAACCACTTTGTCTGACGCTAATAAAACAATATGGACTAATAGGATGCTGGCATGAGTCTATTTGTCTATATTTAGGATTATAATATGAGATTGCGATTAAGAGATCCTTTATTTGTCCTACGGGGGAAATTTCAGTGTTGCATCACAAGTTACAGACCAGTAGGAATGAGGAGCACAACAAACACAAAATAGGATAAGTGCATATTAAGTATAGCACAACTCGATACTTGAACAATTAAACAAAATCATTATTTTTATCTCTGTAAAGAAAAGAAAAGTATCACAAATATAATATAAATGTTTACTACAAAGAAAGAGTATAGTGTAAAGAAAACATACTTGTATGTATACGTCTATAAATATATCTGTAATACACTCTTGAGCAAAAATATTGAAGTCATGAAGTCATTAGCTTTGTGGGTTCAAATATTCATTGGGAAACTTCTGTACATGTTAGCAGCATGAATAACCACAATTATCCTTACAACTCTTATGGTGTTAGTTTTTTTGTAAATGGGGAATGGATGTTATTGTGTCCACAGAACAAGCCCCTGTGTAAAGGTACACAGGGGCTTGGTTAGAACGTGGATGGTAGACCACTGAGATTACCATTTTTGTTCACCCACATTGTTATGAATTGGATGAAGCAGCAGGTGAATAAGCACATCAGCTGATTAAATATTATCAGTCTGCCCCAGGGCAGCTATGACTATACTATTATCTTACAAACAAAGATTAAATGAATGAATAAAGCAGAGCTTTTTTAATGCAACACGTTAAATATATATACTACTGATATTTTGTTTTGAACGTTTTAACGAACAGCTCCCATTGCACATGGAGGAACCCTACACAGACATAGCCATGACCAGCCACAACCAGTCTGTTGTCCTTACTTATAACATCCAATATTAGGTTTTTGTTGATCAGATAATCCAACAAAAGCATGAAAGTGGATAAGAAATAATGACAAATTATATAGAAAATGTTACTGTGCATACACGTGTTGTTTTAGGTAAATTTCAGTTTTGTATTCATATTGTTTTGTAATATCTAATATATACCCACCCCAAGTTTAAATGATCCATTTCATGTTATACATGTTTCCCTTTTATCATAATTTCATTTGCCATAAGTAATGCAAAGCTCTGTTTTTATTGGTTCATGCTCCAGCGCTGAGGGCTGTTCACATATGGGCATGGTCTGCTTGGGCCAGGGGCAGGGGGTGAACTGAGGGGAGGGCTAAAGGCCAATATGCTCATGATGATCCACCAGCCAGAGAACTACAATGGCTTATATTGTCCAACTCCGTCGTGATCACATTCAGTTCACTCTGAGTTCATTTGCATCCTGACTGATGCATGTTTGACCACACCCTCGTCCAAGTGGCAGACCATCAACGTTATGGTGAGGGGCGGCCCGTGGGTCTGTCCAACTCAGATTCCCTGTGCATCTAAAGCCGCATTAAGGGAGCGAGTGCCTCATTGCCCTTTTGAGCACCAGCAGCTGTTCATAGACGTTGCTCTCTGTGTGTTTTTGCACTTTTTCTTTATCTCCCTTTCACATCTCATCTTTCCGCTCTGCAAACATCCTATAATTCTCATGACCTCATGTTGGTGTCCCCCTGCATTCCAGTCTCAGCCGCACACCTCCTTCTCTGTGGTATACATAAATTCAGCAGTGATGTGACCACCATAGGCTGCTGATCCTGTGACATGCATGCGCTGCAGCAGAGTGGAAGGATTAATACTCTGCCCTTTATTTGCCATCGCATAAATACTTAAAACAGTTCTCTTAATAGTTCCCATAACTCTTGTGTGTTGATGCTGTAAGAGCTCTAATTGCTCACTTCGCCGTTCACATGGCCCAGCTTGTCAACACCAGCAGCCTTGCACCCTGACATACCTTGACCTCTTCCCGCTCCTCATTATGACAGTGTCCAGGCCCCCGGGACACATACATTGATCTGTGCACATCACTCAATCCTGTTGTTAAAACATGGTTAGGTTAACTGTTGTCCGTAAGTACAGCTGAAGTCACTGCTCAAATACATAAGTGGCCCATCAAAGCATGCCGACATGTGCGTATGTCCTGTGTTCACTGAACTACCATGTTGTCTTGTCTTTTTAAGATATTCAAGTTGGGGGAAGTAACTTTAAAATCACTAGAAATGGAACTGTAATAAAACTCATAAAGTTCCCCTTTTCTCTCCTTTGTCCATGCTTGTATTTATGGCCTAATACTTTTTGATCAGCTTTTTAAGACACAACAGTGAAATTGAGATGACCACTCTCCAGCTCTAAAATTGTTTATGCCAACATCACAGTAATGTTGAAATTATAGCACAATAGTACATTACGTTGCATAATCCGAATATGGTCGTATTTAAGTAAATTCTGTAGTTTGAGCAGTGATATCTTTATGTTGGCTTCTCTGAATCTGTTCTGATGTTAAAATGTAATGAAACTGGCAAAAAAAAAAAAACATGTGGTGTTTAAAATGATAAAGGAATACATTTGGCGGTTTAACACTTTGAATTTCTCCACAGCAGGAGGTCAACTGGTAAATAGTGACGGAACAAAAGCTGTGTATCACCACGCTTAATGGGATCAGTTTTCCAGGCTTCCTAAATGCACCTCTCCCCAAAAGCACTAATGTCGATAAGTGCTAGCCTAGTTAACCCACAATAAAAAGGCTGTAAAAATCACATTAGCTCTTTTGTTGATTCAGGGAACGTATTTCAGGCATGT